TAAGTGAAAGAAGTTGAAAAAGTTCAGCTGCAAGGGATCGCGAAATTAATAACTTGAATTTTGATGATAGAATTGTTAAACGGTTTTCTCCTGTTTCGTTCAGAGGGTAACCATATAATGACGGATGATCCTGCACAGCAGCACCAAGCTGACGGAGACTTTTTTCTTGCTTCTAGCTTAATTATTTTTCATAGGAACGTCTGTATCTTTACTTTGGGGCAATGGTTCAATAAAAAAGGGGCAAACGGATCACTGTTTCAGTAAATTATTGCGAGTCACTAGTTTTCTCGGTCCTATATTGATGTTAAAGTTTCCATTAGCTGACTGCCAAAAGACATAGTTTTATTCAAGTATCAAATATCAAAGCTCGTTTGTCATTGAACACTGCCTTCAAGGAATTTCGAGCCTGTGTTGGAGATGGAAAAAAAATCCCTGAAATTTATGCATGTATGCTCCGCTATTGTTCTACGTATTTAATCTACTTTGTTTCACGAACTCTTTTTTTTGTCTCAAATGAGACAAATTCATGATAAACAAAGTTTCTGAGCTGGTTCTCAAACATTCAACACTTACACGGTACAACACCCACTCCTCCCCACCCCCCCCCTCTTTTTCATAGGAGTTAAATTTCATACGTCACTATCACCGAAAAAGATGTAAAGCAGTGAAACTGATCTGAGGCGAGGGAAAACTAGATTTACCAAGTGAAGTTTGTTATAATTTTGCAAATGGTTCGATCGATAAAGTTTCCTGGACTTATTACAAAGCGTTTTGAAAACAAAACGATTGGAAGCCGAATTACTTTTCACTCTCGATCGAAAATTACTCCATTATGCCCTGAACATCATCACATGGCATCATGGGATTGGAGAACAGCCGTGATAACACGATATAGCGGATGACCTGCGTAAACGATAACTTGGGAGGGGGGATGACGGTCGAAATTAATTAAATCAAAGATTTCATTTCATATTAGCATACCGGTATACCTCTAACAATAGCAGCCGCGTCACACTTTGCTTTCATGCGACGTTACTTTTGAAGGCCAACTTGCGCATGTCAGTTGCATCATTTCTCAAAGTAAATCATTTATGTTATTTGAATGACATTTGTTTATTCTTATGACTCTAAACACTCATTAGTTCACATGATTTGCTTGCCATGGGAATTGAATGACTAGGACTCTACCAGAGTACCCACTGACGCATGTTGTCAAACTGTTGGGTATGCTGTGAGGATATTTCCTTTCCAGGTCACGGAAAACTGCGTTTTCCGTGACCTGGAAAATAATAGCTCGCGCCAGGTCGTACTCAAATACTACAAAGAGATGCAATCCTTGCATAGCTGAAAAATTCTTTATCATATGCAGAACAGGGGCGGGCACCCTAAACAAAAGGAACCAACTGGCGAGTGCGTGCCGACACTAAACTAAATATTTGATAAGGTATGCTCAAACCACCTACTTAAAAAAGGATCGTTAGTCAACTAGTATCTTATGCACCAGATAAGAGAGGACTTTTAACCCTTTCGAAACAGATCTGTAATGCGAGGTTTTAGTGCGAAGTTTTAATTTTTATTTTCCTATATAATTGTTTATTATATGTATTATATATTATACATATTATACATAGCTCCACTCTTACTCATAAGCGCAGACAATATGTAAGCGATTTCGAATGTTTGCTTCTTATTACTTAAAGATTTGTATGTCTGTTTGTCTTTTGCTGTTTCAGCATGTGAATTGAAAACAAATTGTCCTTACACGAGGTAAGGCTTTTGTTAGGACTGTTTTTGCTATAAAAATTTCCCTCAAAAACGTCTGATTTAGTTAAAGTAGCCTCATTCTGCCGATAAGCCCACACCAAATTACGCATCTGGAGCATGAACAGAGAAATCGTATCTTGAAGTTGAAATATACTCTCATAAGTTCTTTTTGGGTGGTCACGCTTAAATAAAATTATGGAATTCTATAGTGAATTTCAGTGTCACCAAGAAACTTTGTTTTCCAGCGCCATATTCTGGCTGGTTCTGTTAAATCACATTAGAGCGCAATGTCGGCAGCAATTAGTGTTTTCACAAAAGGAACAACGACCTCCCTCATTAGTCGTTGCTTTTGAAGGAGAGCTTTCTACGTCGATTGTATTGAAAACAGCATATGCATGTGTCGGCATTGTTGAGCCTTTTTCGGTGTCCTCTTTACTGAGCTGGAGCTTTAAAAAGGAGACCGTACCAGATTGCGTGGCCAGCATCACTTAGTAACCACCATCAGCTGGATGGAGGACAAAGTATTTCACTTGCGACTGAAAATCGAAAGAGTTGATCATTTCTCCACTGACAATGTTCCAAAGTTTAATGGTACCATCTCGAGAGCTTGTCACCATCATGTCTTCTGGAAGAATCTTGAGGTGCATCACTGCGTGGGTATGTCCGATAAAGCTTCTCGTGCGGCCCCCAGTCTTGAGGTTCCATAATAAAAGCTGCTCTTTTCCTTCGTGGGAGCCAGCAAAAGCAAATAGATTGTCTTTGGTGATTCCTATACATTTGATAGAGGCGTTATGACCATCTAAAGTATGCAAGCAGTCTCCGTTTTGAGTGCTCCAAACCTTGAGTTTGAAGTCCTCAGAACCTGATACAATGATCGTATTGTCAGTCGTTGATGCCAGGCAGCCAACAGGTCCAGTATGTCCCTCAAAGGACCTCTCGCAGTTTATTGTTTTCAAGTTCCACAAACGGACAGTTTTATCTTTGGATCCTGAGATGGCGTAATCTTCTCCACTCAGAAGAGATACACATAGCACAGCGTCTGAATGGCCTGCAAGTTGCTTTGCATGGCCCTCGCAAATTTGGGTGAGACCCGTCGTATTGTCACTCGATGCTGACACAATAAAACTGTCATCTTTGGATACTTTTATCGATACCACACTACCCTGGTGAACTTTGAACGTTTCCTCGACCTGCAAATTGTCGCAATTCCAAATGGTGATCTCTCCATTGTGCATGCCAGTTACTACTCGAGTAGAGTTGTGCATTGTAAAGATGCATGCAATAGAACCAGAGATACTCTTGATACACCATTTATTTCTGTTGCAAGTAGAGTTTATGTTGGCAAGCATAAATATGTTTTGGGTCCGGCTCAATCACTTAGCAACGGTTTCTCGATTGTAACTAGCTACTTCCATCTAACGATTGCCTGACACTCACTTTTCATTGTTTTCCACAGCGGGCTAAAATATCCCCCTCAATCAATTTTTTTCGGCGCATTCGAAAATTCGTCTTATCATTCAACTACTGTACCGTTACAACATGTTTCTTCAGTAAAATGTTAGTCACGCACTCTATTTTACGTTCAATAAACACAGGATTAACGATGTCTGCAAAGCTAATGGTGTTATTTGCTGTCATCTGCATTGCCCACTGTCGCGTGCCATGTAAGTAAGATTTGTATATTCTCAAAGAGTGAGACGAGGAATGAAATTAGAAAACAGATGGCTCCTCCCAAAGGAGTACTTTCTACATACGTCTGAAGGTATGATCTTGATTGAAAAGGTTAAGACACCACACTGAGCGAGGTACAGAAAAAAATTAATAACACTACCATTTTTTCACCTAATTTATCCGATTGTCGATTTATGGGTAGAATAGGGGGAATGGGCGGAATGGGGAAAATGGGGGGAATGGGGGGAAATTAATAGGGCTTGGTGTATATGACCTAAGGGTTAATTATTTTTTCATTGCAAAACACTTCGGAAATGTGGTGTTTTACTTTGCGTTATATAAGTGTAAAAGGTCCTTTTGTGTGGAAAATATGTGAGTTGGTACCTTTTTAAACTAAAAAAGGCCTTATTTAAGAGTAGGAGATTGGAACTCAAGGCGGAGTACCCTTGCACGAATGTTAGAAGGGTGTGAACTTTGAAACGGGTGGAGTGGACTCTACCTCGACAGGGCTGGGTAGCATAAATCCACCTCTTTGAAATAGTAAAATTTCTCTTTTACATCTATAGCAAATCCGCTAAGACGCATGTTTGCTGGCGTGGAAAAGCGAGCATCATCATGTGCCTATGACTGTGTTCCCATCTGTTATGATGATGGATATGGTAGTTACAACCACCGATCCGGTTCCTGCAGCAAGTCTGGCCATAGCTGCTGTGAGTGGGTTGTG